TCATGGTATTGGCATAATAACAGTCAGCTGGAGCAATGCAATTCAGAGCCCCCAGGTATATCCCCCAAAATACAGCCCACTGATCCTTGACAAGGACACAAAATAATCCGGCGGGAGAAATTCTCTTCAGCAAATGGTGTTGGTAGAACTGGATATTGACTTGCAGAAGAATGAAACTAGATCCTTATCTCTTATGAATAAGAAAAATTAACTCAAATTTCAAAAGAAACTTGGATGTGGTATCTAAAAGTACTTTTTAACTTCCAAAGGGACATTCAAGTAGTAATTTGGCTGATGACATTGTACATGGAAAGAAAGGCCCCATAGGAACTCCTTTAGATATAGTTTTAAATTGTTACAGTTAGTTGTAGGGGTGATAATAATGATGAACTTAAAATGCCCAGTAGAACAAATTTGACTTCATTCTATAGGGATTTTTTTTTTTTTTTGTAAGCATAGAGGGAATAGCTATCTTCTTTATTCTTCTACTTTTTAAGAAACAAGTTTGGAAGTAGAAATCATAAACATCTCCACTCATTTTGGAGTTACTGTTAAAAAAGAAAAAAGGAGAGTGTAAGTAATCGGTGTCTCAGTTTTGCATTTTCTAATGTTACTGCAGGAAAAATATCACTTTCTGGTTCCCCAGGTTTTTTCTTTTTTAGGAATTGAGTTTAACTACAATTATTAACATGTAATTTTTAAATTTGTCTTTAGATGATGACAAGATATCTATGTAAGAAATTAAAATTCCAATGAAGCATGGAGAGTCTTCTCAATCAGTTATCAAATTTTAGACAGATAGGAGAGGATGTCTTATTACAGAAGAGTCCAATTTGTCAGAATGTTTCATAAATAATAAATTTTAATCGAAGAAAGTAAATGGAAAAATGAAGTAATCATGATAAGATAATTCAATGGTTTTAACATTTATTTTATAATATATAGAATTTTAATTTGAGGCATAAGCCATGTAGCTTGTATCTACATTATTGTGATTTTCGGAAGAAATAATATTAATTTGAGTGGATAGCTGTCTATAATATATACTTTTAAAATTTGATGAAATTATGAGGATAAAGGCTAATGTCAATAAGTACAGCTAGCACCACCTCCATTTTCCAACCAGGAGATGTTTGTTTTCTGTTCCTCTTAAGGAAAAAATTCCAACTGTACCATTACTTGGTTTAATTTTACTGAACTCATAATGTGAAATTAAAAATACCTATTATTTGGTGATCTGGGTTGCAACCTAAGCCAGATTAATTTAATTAAGGAAAAAATTTCTATTTTGGAAAATAATATCACATTTACTTTACATTCAAAGGACCCATTTTTATCAAATATATCCCACATTGGGTTTTCTAGGCTTTGTGGATGTGTTTAACTATCTAAAATTATTACACCTTTTTTTTCAGCTTAATAAAAGTGGAGAATAGCAACTTGCTGTTTTTTTCATGGGTAAACACGCTCAGTTTATTTTTGTGTGTGTGCGCATTTTCACATCACACTTCTGGGCATGTGTGTGTGTGAATACATGCCCAGGGTCCAGAAGGGAGAGGTGAAGGAGGGATGATTGCAAAATCAGCATCCTCTCATGGGTGGGGGGATTTCTCACTTTCCTTCTCTCTCTCTCTCTCATGTGAGCACATGAACCCTCTAGCAAATTAAAAGAAAGAAACTGAACCTATCAGTGTCTAGCTTCACCCATTAATTGGGGTCTACATAGAATCTGTGAGAATATTGATCTGGAATGTGCAGGAATTTGTCTGAAAAGCCTCTCAGTAGGGTTGTTTCTCCCCTTATCAAAATCATACTGTTTTGAATTGCTATGCAGGACAGGCTTGATCCTGACATTTGCTCAGTCCTTCACATAGCAGAATCTGGATACCATCTTATATAATTTTCAAACATCTTTTGACTATCTCAAAAAATTCATCCCTGCTCTCAATGGTTAAAAGTGTATTACCGAGACCAACAGATGGCATAATGGTTACATCGCTGAACTCCCACGTAGTTGACGGGTTCCAGTTCTGGACCTGGTGGCTTAAAACTCACGCCAGGCGTGTGTGCATGCGTGCCCAAGATCCCTAGAGGAGAATGGAGGAGAAGGGATTGCAGTGTGGCCATCTTCCCAAGGTGTGATTTCTTTCTTTCTGTCTCTCTGTCTCTTGGGTGAGTGCATGCACTGTATAGTAAAAATCTTTCTGTCCCTCTGTCTCTTGGGTGAGTGGATGCACCGTATAGTAAAAATCTCTCTAAGAAAAAAAAAAAAGAAAGAAAAAGAAGTCTATCACCAAATATTTACACAAAAAGTGTCATGAAACATGGAAGAGAGTAATTTTACAGAAAAATATACAGAATGTTTATTCCTAATTTTGCATGAAAATTTTTCAGTGTCAAATATCCATTGCTAAAGGAAATAAATAACATTTTGTTATTCTTATTTTTATTAATATGCTAGTGACAATGTTATTATATACCCATGCCAAAATATTTATGAAATTCTATCTGGAAGTCCCTTTAGGGATAGTTTATAAGGCACAGAAAGAAATCAATTTTATTTATGCTCATTTTAAATTACTTTAAGTTTGTAAACAAAAAAAGTAAACTACAAAAAATGGTACTATATAATTTAAACTTCTTTATATTTTGATTTCTCTACTTAATAATACCTTGAGAACATTCCTCCACTGGTAACTTGCTGTTAACTTGTATAGCTTAATTATATTTTCTTTATATATGAATAATGCTTCATATTCAAACTGTACCATAATTTATATAATTTTCCATAGTTCATGACTATTATTTTTATTTCCAGGCTTTGCTCTCATAAACAAAATGTTTTATTATATATTCTAGTGTTTTATTCTTATGTGTAGGTGACAATAGTTCTAGGATCTCTATCTAGGAGTGAGATCAAAGTTTATACGAAATATTATTTTTTTTTAATGTTTTTGTCCTAAGGTGTGTGTACTTACCAGAGAGAGACAGAGAGAGGGAAAGCGATTGGCCATGGTGCAATCCTTTCTCCTCTATTCTCTTCTTGGGGTTTTGAGTATGCATGTATGTGCTCCTGTTATGTCCTGGATTTAAACTGTGGTCAGCTATGTGGGAGTCCAATGCGTAAATCACCATGCACACTGTTGGCCCCATAAATTACTAATTTTTACATAATGTCAGATTTAGAAAAACCGTTTCAATTTACACTTTCATCAGTTATCTTAGAGAGTTATTCTTTTGTAAGTTTTCTGTCATTAGTAGATATTTTCTCTCATTTTGTGTTTTTGCTTATCTCACAAGTGAAAATAAGGTAGCCATTTAAAAAAGTCACTAATTTTCTCTCATTTTGTGTTTTTGCTTATTTTATAAGTGAAAATAAGGTAGCCATTTAAAAAAATCTCTAGTTATTAAAAATATTGAGCATTGTTTCATATATTTATTGATATTGTTTCATACAGTTTCATTAGTCATATTGTCTTGCTCCTCAGTAAACAGATCTGCTGATATTTTTTTGCCCATTATTTCATTTGATCATCTAACTTGTTTTCACCAAGTTTTAAGAGAGTATAAGTATGTGTATATGTGTGTGTTCTATAAGTGTTAGATCTATACATGTTAGTCCAATGTAATTTTCAGCCACCTGGTCCAGGACTCAAACTGTGGGAACCCAGTGCCTTAACCACCACACTACTTGCTGGCCCCTGCCACATGGTTTTAATATTGACCCTGAATGATAACAGCATATGCTACTCAAAAATATGCCATTTTTGTATGTGAATTATTTTTGAGCTAGCAGCACATAAAAATGCACAGATATGAGATCTTCTTTATCTCTCCTTTCCTTCTTGAAAACAGGAAATTAAAATTCCCTTGTGAAAGATTCTCCCTGGGACCAGCAGTTAGTGTAATGGCCATGACGCTGGACTCCCATGTAGTCGACCACCGTTTGAGTCCCGGACCTGGTGGCTTAAACTCACGTTGGGCACGTGTACGTGCATGCCCAAGATCCTGAGAGGAGGATGGAGGAGAAGAGATTGCAGTGTAGCCATCCCCCCTGGGGGGTGATTTCTCGCTTTCTATCTCTCGCTTTCTATCTCTCTGTCTCTCTCTGTCTTTCTGGTGAGCGAACGTGCCCTATAGCAAAAAAAAAAAAAAAAAAAAAAAAAAAAAGATTCTCCCTACCCCATACCAAGAGAAAATAAATATACTTTGATGTAGAGTCATATCTAAGAGAATTATATACAAACAGACTTTGGTAGAATAATTCTTATCTTCCTTTGGCTTTCCATAAAATCTAGTTACTTTTCTACAGCTGCCTCTTTTTGTTCAACTTAGCGTGAAGGCATTTAAGTTTGTCCACTTCTTTGGGCTTTCATTTTCTTTTCTTTGGAGACATTTTTGTTATAGGGCACGTGCACTTGCCAGAAAGACAGAGAGAGAAGGAAAGACAGAAAGTGAGAAATCATCCCCCGGGGGGATGGCCACACCGCAATCCCTTCTCCTCCATTCTCCTCTTGGGATCTTGGGCACACACACATGCCTGGCATGAGTTCAAGCCACCGGGTCTGGGACTCGAACCGTGGTCAACTTCATGGGAGTCCTGTGACATAGCCATTATGCCAACTGTTGGTCTCTGGGCCTTCATTTTCTTATGATGGCTCCCATGTCATGTGAAATTTATATAAATTTGTACGCTTTTCTCCAGTCTCTCTTAGGGCAACTTAATTCTTGGGTCCAGTAAAAAACCTTAAGATGGATGAGAAAAAAAATTTTGCCTTTCCTATACCTGAGATATTTGCATTCATTCCAGTAGTTTCCAATTTTCTGGCCAGACACATAAAAACAGACTTTCTAAACAGATTTTACTAAAGAATAAAAGCCAAACTTAAAAAAAAGTGGGACACTCGAAGGTATAAATAGATTCACAAATTAAATGTTAATGCTTTCTATTATCTTTAGTGATTATATGTATTTTCTCATTACAGTGACCAAATGTGATTATGGCAGAAGGAAATAAGACTCTGGTGACAGACTTTGTTTTCATTGGACTTACAGACCAGCCAAGGCTCCAGTCTCTCCTCTTTATCACGTTCTTGACTGTCTACCTCATCACTCTGGTGGGCAACCTTGGACTAATGGTTCTTATTTGGAAGGATCCCCATCTTCGTACCCCCATGTACTTATTCCTAGGTGGTTTAGCCTTTGCTGATGCATGTACTTCCACCTCTGCAACCCCCAGGATGCTGGTCAATTTCTTAGACAGGAGTGTGACGATTTCCCTAGCTGAGTGCATCACCCAATTTTACTTTTTTGCTTCTAGTGCAACCACAGAATGTTTCCTCCTGGTAGTGATGGCCTATGACCGCTATGTGGCCATATGTAATCCTTTGCTTTATCCAGTGGTGATGTCCAACAGACTCTGCACTCAGCTGATAAGTATTTCATATGCAATTGGTTTTCTGCATCCTCTGGTTCATGTGAGTTTGTTATTAAGATTAACTTTCTGTAGGTCTAACACAATACATCATTTCTACTGTGAAATTTTACAGCTGTTCAAAATTTCATGCAATGATCCATCTATTAATGCGCTAATGATAGTTATTTTTGCAGCACTTATACAAATATCCACTTTAATGACTATCATAATCTCTTATACTTGTGTGCTCTTTGATATTTTGAAAAAAAAATCTGAAAAGGGCAGAAGCAAAGACTTTTCCACATGTAGTGCCCATCTGCTCTCTGTCTCACTGTACTATGGAACTCTCATTGTCATGTATGTGCGCCCTGCATCTGGCCCAGCTGAAGACCAGGACAAAATATATTCTCTGTTTTACATGATTATAATTCCCCTGCTAAATCCATTTATTTACAGCTTGAGAAATAAAGATGTTATAGGTGCCTTCAGAAGAGTTACAAAGAACTAAACAAATACCAAGAAAATTTTAAATTCTTTGTTTCAGTCTTTGTATAAACAAGTCATTAAGTCTTTTTATTTTGGAGAGATTTTCGCTATAGGGCACGTGTGCTCACTAGACAGACAGAGAGAGACATAGAGACAGAAAGTGAGAAATCACCCCCCAGGGGGGATGGCCACGCTGCAATCCTTTCTCCTCCATTCTCCTCTCGGGATCTTGGGCACGCACGCACATGCGCCTGGCATGAGTTTTAAGCCACCAGGTCTGGGACGCGAACCGCGGTCGACTACGTGGGAATCCAGCGACATAGCCATTACGCTAACTGCTGGTTCCCCATTAAGTCTTTTTATCAGCCATGGCTTTGCCTTTTCATTAGAGGGCTACTAGGTGGTCATTGAGCACCTAGTAGCTTTGGACGGTAATATGCAGGTCCACTTGAAGTGTCCTCATATCATGTTTAGTTGATGTATTTAAAATAATTTTACTTTGTTGTTATCTGAACATTTAGGTTTTGAAAAACAATGATCTGTGAGTTACCCATCCCTCAACTTACCTTGACTAACTGAAAATTACGAAGGTTGATATGTAAGGTTGAGTCATTTAATACACAATCCTAGCTCACTGTGCAAAACCTGCATATTAGTAAGACTCTATAATGTTCTACTATACAACAATAAAATACTAGAAACTTATATTCTTACAGAAAAAGTATTTCTGAAATAAAAGTGGAAAATATTAAGACAAATAGAAGAGGCTTAAAAATTGTGTATTTTAAATTTAAAAATTTGCATAGATAGGGACTGGCAGGTGGCACAGTGGTAAAGGGCACTAGACTCCCACATGGCCAACTGTGGTTCAAGGCCTAGACCTGGCAGCTTGCTTTTTCACTTTCTCTCTTTGAACCTCTCTGGTCAAATTAAAATAAATAAACAAATAAATTAAGTTAAATAAAATAGTTCTTTAAAAATTTGCATACATAAATGAGAACTTTATAAGAGGAGGTTATTTTGAAATAAATAATGGAACATTTAAATTTAAAACTTCCAGCCTATCCAGGGTGGCATGTACTGTTAAGATGCTGTGTTCTGTAGGCTGGGAGCACATGGGAGTACCAAGATTGATTTGTGGCCCAACATAAAGGCTGGTATGGTGGCATGTGCCTGTATTTCAGTGACTAAGGAAGGTTGAGTCAGAAGGATCATAAGTTTGAGGCTGGCTTGAGTAGCAAGATCTAGTCTAAAATAAAGAGGTGTAGTGGTACTCACCTGTAGTTCTAGCTGGGAAATCCAGACTCACAGAGAGCAACATTGAGAGACCAACAAAACAAAACAAAACAAAACAAAACAAACAACTAATACTTCCTGTCTATGGAAGTCCATATACTAACTTTCATAGAGGACATTATAGGATACAGTGACACTTAGAAATGTTCAGATTAGAATAGATCTCAGGATGTAGCCTTCTCAAATATTACAGATCTCCCTAACTCTATTTACATGAACATTTTGTTTGCAATTGTAAACAGGACCAAGCATTTGCATAGAGATTGCCTTGCTATACTCCAGCAGGCAAAAGGCAAGGGTAAGAAACTGGTTAAGTGTGTATGAATGTGGTGCAAACATGAGATAGTGGATTCTTTTAAAGGAAAGGCTAGGTTGTCAAGGTCTCAGACAGTAATTTACTTGCAATTCAGTGACAGACTACATTAATAAATATACCAATTTGTTACTGACACATAACTCCTTTTACAAAGTATGAATTATGTTTCTTGAGCAAACTATTTGTACAAACATTGTGTTTAGGAAAAAATTAATAGAAAATGAAAATTAAATTTATGTTGTTGAAACAAGAGTGAAAATGTATCTCTTGTTGAAGAATTTTAAATGTTACATTTAGGTTCTTTTTTGCTGTAATTTCAGTAGAAACATCAAATACTAATTTAAAGAATAGAATGTGTATTACAAATTTATCAATCATTTGAGTTATAAATGAAAACATTTAATTAACTTGTTTAGATCTATCATTTTATACCTGTGGCTCTCCCCTGACAAATGACTTTTTAAAAAAATTGTACAACTGAATGTATTCTACTGAGAAATAATATTGATACCAAGAGATTCCTGTTATTTTTTACTGTCTTGGTGACTAAGCTTAGCAATAATTCCTTTAATTAGTATCGATTTTGCTATCACATTTTCTTATTTTTGATTAGGGTCCCATTACTATAATTCACTGGTGATACTGTGTTATATTCTCTTACATTCTTGTTATTATCTTGTTAAAAAAGTTTATTTCTATGTGTACAAGTCTCAACCATTTTTCTTTTTTCTTTGAGTGTATAGCACTATAGAATATTTTTAATTACTCCAAGGATACTTTATGACAATTGTTAAAACAACAGATTACTATTACATTTTTATTAACATTTTAGAGCAGGAAATGCTAACAAATGAAGACTTTGTTTTAAACTAAGTACTGCTTTTATAAGCAGCAAAATCAATATAGTAATTTTTTAGGGAAAAAGTGGGGGCATGGTACCTTTTCATGTCATTACCCTACTGGCCCTAATCCCAGCAGCCGGTATTAAAAGTAAGTACCAAAAATATAATAATAATAAAAAATTAAACAAAAAGTATGTACCACTGTGTTTAGCTCACTTTTAGACAGAGTATCTTTGTGTTACCCTTGCTGCCTGGAGCTCCTGATTCTACTGCTTCAGCTGTCTGTAGTTGTTAAGGATACAGGCTCATGCCCAGTCTTTAGGCTGGGCCAGGAACTAAATTCACATCTCCCATGTGGTCCTAAGCTGTGTATTATAAAATGTGGGGGCCATTGTTGAAGATATAAATCTATTTGTCCTGTAGACTTTTTAATATTCTGGATCTTGTTGAAAATATAGTTTTAATGACATAATGTATTTCTTGTAAACTAGATAGAATTAGATCTGGAAACTTGATAAAATTCAGATATTTTTATTTTAGTTTGTGTGCTGAGGAATTCTTCCTGTGTGAAATCTGGAAAAACAACATCCTGACCGTCCCTTTTGTAATGACATTTGTTCTATCAACTCTACACACGCTTATTTTAATGATTATTGTCTAAATCTGTTATGTCATCACAGGTTACCATATAAAAACTTACTAAATATACCATCTCTCTACACTTATTAGCTGTAATTTTTCTCTAAAGAAGAATTTTCTCTCTTTACATTAGGATGTCTGAAACATGTCCCACAAAGAAGAGGTGGAACAAATTCCTGTTTCTTTTCCTTTAAGTATCTGTTTTCGACATAAGAAGCTAGAGTTCTAGTGACTTCCCAGTATGATCATTGAAGATTGCATTTTCATTTATTTATTTGGAGTAGTTATTATTACAAACTTAATAATTTTAATATATTGATGAGTTCCATTTATTACAGTCAATATACTTACAAAATTTGAAGTATTCCATATTTAAGTTTCATATTTAGCCAGAGGGGTCACTTTAAATGAGCTCCTATGTCACTCTATTTTTAACACTGTAGATTGGTTTATAATGCTTTTGAATTTTCTGTTATGGGACTCATGTGGCATGAAATTATTTGAATAGTGTCCAATATTGGTATTTCGAAAAATACTATTATTAACAGTCTGCGAAATGTCTTCTCGTGCACATAGTTTTGTTGGGTATATATCTAGGAGTCAAGTTTAAATATGAAAAGCTATGTATTTCATTTTATTTTTTTTAGAATTTAGATTGCATATGAACACATACATCTGTAGCCAATTGACATTTACCAAATGTACTAGGTCTTTTCTATGAGAAAAGAACAATCTCTAGGACATTCACATGTGAAAGAATAAAATTGGTCTCAAATTGTTACATACAAAAATGAACTCAAAATGGATCAAATGACCTAAACATAAGAGCTGAAGCCATAAAACTCTTGGGAGAGTAATCTTCATAGGAGTAAACCTTTTTTTTTTTTTTTCAGCCTAATAATTAATTAACCGTGAATATCTGTGCTCACCACCTTAGCTCCTCAATTGTCACTGTTACTGTCAGTGACTACTTCAGGGGAAAAGCAGGCCTACCTCTTCCTTCTTTTTCTCTCCTGGCTCTTGGCCCCATAATTACTCCGTGATGCCGATCAATGATGCCTACAGACCACTTATTTTATTTACATTGTCCAGCTTTTTTCTTTCTAAGGGAGGAGAGATGAGATGAAACAACCTAGTTTGCCATTTGATAGACAAGAACTGTAATTTTTTTTTTTTGAGAGGTTTTTGCTATAGTGTGCTTGCACTTGCCAGAAAGACAGAGAGAGACAGAGAGACAGAAAGCAAGAAATCACCTTCTGGGAGGGATGGCCACGCTGCAATCCCTCCTCCTCCATTCTCCTCTCAGGATCTTGGGCACTCATGCGCACACGCCTGGTGTGAGTTTAAGTCACTGGGTCTGGGACTCTAACCATGGTTCGAATAGCCCAAATATGAATGGCCCAAAAGTATATGAAAGAATGCTCAACATCTCTTATTGTAAGGGAAATGCAAATCAAACCCAAAATGATATACCACTTACTCCCAGTAAGAATGCTAAAATTAAGAAAATAAATTATGGTAAGTGCTTGCAAGACTAGTAAGAATGCTAAAATTAAGAAAATAAATTATAGTAAGGGCTTGCAAGACTGTGGTGAAAAGGGAGCTCTCCCTCACTGTTGGTGGAAATTTAAATTAGTACAACCATTTTGGGGAATGATATGAAGATTCCTAGGAGACAGAAAGCAAGAAATCACCTTCTGGGAGGGATGGCCACGCTGCAATCCCTCCTCCTCCATTCTCCTCTCAGGATCTTGGGCACTCATGCGCACACGCCTGGTGTGAGTTTAAGTCACTGGGTCTGGGACTCTAACCATGGTTCGAATAGCCCAAATATGAATGGCCCAAAAGTATATGAAAGAATGCTCAACATCTCTTATTGTAAGGGAAATGCAAATCAAACCCGAAATGAGATACCACTTACTCCCAGTA